CAATAATATATGTTAATTCTTGTATTATCTGCTTCTCATCTGCGGCACTGGTTGCTGACGTTATCTGGAGAGAAAATAATGTATTGGGTTATGACAATGTTTGAAGTTTCTCAAAATTACTTACAAGACACCATGTAACTTTCCAATTTTACCACCTTGACAGAAAGTTACCAGTCCTGCATTAAATTTCATTTTTAAATACTTCCATTCAAATTCAAAGTAAGCACACCAAATTACACATGAATTAAGTCAGTATCCCTCAGCTAATCATGTAATTGGTGAAGTTGTTCATGACAAAAAAAATGTGACCTGACCACCAGGCATGAAAGTTTTAATTGCTACAAGCCTGGCATACAAAAGACCATTGCAAAAAAGCTTTTACCATATTTTCTTATGTAAAAGAGAATGTAGGTCTATGTATGGTCAAACTTTGGCAGAGGGTTTTCAACCCACCTATTCACATAGTTCATACCCACCATAGACTCCGGTCAGTCAAAATGACTATTTTGAACTGTAGGCATTAATCTGCGATTCAGTCAATGACGGAGAGAGAAATGTAGGTCAGGGGAAGCCTCACGTCACTAACCACGTAAAAAAGAATGTGGGTCTCTATGTATGGTCAAACCCAGTATATATGAAAAGCAATTTTAAGTTTGAGTGCTATTTTTGAAAGATCTTTCATTGCCCTTTTATATATGAAATTTATATTTAACTAAATTTTCGACAGTTTTCTTATTCATGTAATACTAAAATGACACAATTACACATAAAATGCATTAACTGTATACTGGATTATTAAAATTAAAAATATGACACAGCTCTGTCATTTATCTAAGCACAAGATCTACCAATAGAGCAAATACATCATACAAAGTTTTCATTTATAATATAGAAGAAATTAAGTTATTTATTCTAATCTCAAAAAGTCAACTGCAAATTATTCATTTACTGTAACTAAGCATGATGGGAAATACTTACAAAATAATCAACACTGGTATTCTTGATGTCCGATAAAGTTTCGCTGATTTTCGTTTTATCCTGCAATGAAAAAAAAAATTAAAAAAGGTGAAAACAAACATTTTACTTTAAAGCGCACACACAAGAACTGAGTCCTGAGTGAGGACAACAATGTACGCTAATGCATGATAACAATGCAGGCATGCTATTCTGCAGAATATGCAGGTGATGACTTCCTCGCTTTAAGCAAAAATAAAACTCATTGAAATATTGGATGTTTTTGAATTTAAATGTTTATGTACAATCCCCACAAAAATAACATGAGAAAATTCTCAAATTATCATAATCAATTCAATAAATGAAAATATAATGGTTCACAGAATATTGATTGTAAAATAAATATATATTATATTTACTTTATTCTGTAATAAATACTCACATCTAAGAAGATTCTATGCAAAGCAGCGACGGCTTCTTTCAACATAATTCCAAATAAAAATACTTCTTTACTGTCACCATGTTTTCTCTGTCAAGACAAAAGCAAGTTTATTATTTCAGTTTGCTTTACAGCTTATATTCTTAACCCATAGGATACAATGGAATATTTTATATTATATCAAATATTTTTAGAAAAATTGTTTGGACATGCCACAATTATTTATTCATTTTATGTATCCGTAAATAAACTCAACTGAGATCCAATCTTATCATTGTTCCTGAGAAGATCTCAATGAACTCAACTGAGATCCAATCTCATCATTGTTCCTGAGAAGATCTCAATGAACTCAACTGAGATCCAATCTTATCATTGTTCCTGAGAAGATCTCAATGAACTCAACTGAGATCCAATCTCATCATTGTTCCTGAGAAGATCTCAATGAACTCAACTGAGTTCCAATCTCATTATTGTTCCTGAGAAGATCTCAATGAACTCAACTGAGATCCAATCTCATCATTGTTACTGAGAAGATCTCAATGAACTCAACTGAGATCCAATATCATCATTGTTCCTGAGAAGATCTCAATGAACTCAACTGAGATCCAATATTATCATGTTTTAAATAAATAAAAAATATTATTATAGCTCTAAAAAAATAGAATTTTGTTCTGTAAATATCGCTATTAGCACATGTCTCAAATTGTATCAGCACTCATTTTACCATTCAAATTTGTCCTTATATGGGGTAAACTATTTTACTCTCATACAATCACACTACTACTGTAAAGACTGTATAAGAAACCATGGCTTCCATTAAAATGATACAATGCACCATTAGAGCACCTACACATACGAGAAATGATGAATTTTGGTTCTCAATTATTCAAAAAGCATGGATGTGACTTCTATTAGGGGTGCGGCTTCTCATACAGATTTTACGGTACCTCATTCACTCTGCTTGTTAACATTTTGAACAGAAATTTCATTTCTCATCCATTCACTTCTAAATCACTTACCCTTGCCACCATTCTCTTAGCATGCACAGAAAACCAAGACATGTAAAACAGCTGTCGAAGTTTACGAGTTGCCCCTAGTTACAAGAAATAGATAACAAATAAGTGTAGAAAAAACAAGAGGTTTGTATACTAAATGAGTGAGGGCAGTATACTCTTTCTGTGCGAATGAACATAAATATTACCAATATTTGGTTGAGAACAAGAAACACATGATAGACTTACAATTTCCAGGAAATGGAATGATCACTTTCTTCTTTTTAACTGGTTCTGGAAATAATTTTGAAAATTAGTATGTTGCTGATAATGAATTGTAATCAAAATTATTATTATAATTTATGAGATGGAGTGTGATTAAGTATTGTAAAACATGTTGAAAAAGCAACATGTAATTTAAGCGAATTGTGGTAAAATGACATAATAGCGAAATGTTGATTTAGCGAATCTTTTTTGTCATTGTTGATTTCCTGTTTTTCACGATACTTGTCTGTCGCGTGCCAAAACAAATGTGCAGTTATCACCTCCAGAAAAACTGGCAAGTGTAATTAGGAAGCGCCACAGATATTTAAGTTCCGGATTACTGTATACAAATCCCCAAGCGTTGGCCATTTTGAATTTATAATGAAGTCATTAGTGACATCTTGATTTAGCGAATCAGTTCTTTCGCTAAAAAGACATGCTCGCGAAAAAGATATGTTTTACAGTATGTTTGGCATTGTGTCTAAATATTTATTGCACAGTGTTTGTAAGTTTACAAGATTCTTGAATCATGGATTAAGGATTAAATCAAGGTTTAAATTTAAAAAAATATAAAAAAATGTAACACAGATCTGTCAACAAGTACATGAAGTCTAGATTAGGTTTTCTTAACTAAGAAACTTCTCAAAAGGTTGGCATGACAACAATAAAGATAAAACATTTATGTGCCTTACCTGGGGTCACCGATTTCACTTTCTTTTCTGTTAACAAACAAATAAACATAGAAAAAAAGTAGCATGCAATCATCAGATCAGATATGGAAAAAAATGTTCTAATTCATTATAGCGCAGTTTCCTCAATTTAGTTATATATAATATAAGGGTTTGTACCAATCACATAAATGTTTTTTATCTTTTTGTCCAGTTTCAAATGATTATAACCAGGACCTGCTTTAAATTTATTTGTAGATCTTTAGGTGGACTCACTACTCATGAAGTGTGGAGTGCGCCCTCTATGGTCAGATTATTCCATTTCTTGTTTTACAATCTCACAACAGACATGTTTCCAAGAATCTTATGTGTCAGAGAAAATCAGGGAATTCGATAGTAGTGAAAATTTTCCCTAAGACAGCGAGCAAGTCCAGCAATGTTCATTGGTGTCACAGTGAATTTCACTGTGTCCTAGGGAGTTACAGCAACCCACACCATTGTCCTAGGGAGTCACAGTGACTTTCACTGTGTCCTAGGGAGTTACAGTGACCCACACTGTTGTCCTAGGGAGTCACAGTGACTTTCACTGTGTCCTAGGGAGTTACAGCAACCCACACCATTGTCCTAGGGAGTCACAGTAACTTTCACTGTGTCCTAGGGAGTTACAGCAACCCACACCATTGTCCTAGGGAGTCACAGTGACTTTCAGTAGGGTCCTTGGAAGTCACAGTAACTTTCACTGGGCCCAACGGTGTGACAGTGACTTTCACTGCAGACCTAGGTAGTCACAGACAGAAGTTTTCAATCAGGCACTAGTGATTCACAGTAACTTTCACTGTGTCCTGAGGAGTTACAGCGACCCACACCATTGTTCTAGGGAGTCACAGTGACTTTCAGTAGGGTCCTTGGAATTCACAGTTACTTTCACTGGGCCCAACGGTGTGACAGTGACTTTCACTGCAGACCTAGGTAGTCACAGACAGAAGTTTTCAATCAGGCACTAGTGATTCACAGTAACTTTCACTGTGGCCTGAGGAGTTACAGCGACCCACACCATTGTCCTAGGGAGTCACAGTAACTTTCACTGTGTCCTAGGGAGTTACAGTGACCCACACCGTTGTCCTAGGGAGTCACAGTGACTTTCAGTAGGGTCCTTGGAATTCACAGTAACTTTCACTGGGCCCAACGGTGTGACAGTGACTTTCACTGCAGACCTAGGTAGTCACAGACAGAAGTTTTCAATCAGGCACTAGTGATTCACAGTAACTTTCACAGTGTCCTGAGGAGTTACAGCGACCCACACCGTTGTCCTAGGGAGTCACAGTAACTTTCACTTTCACTTTCAGTAGGGTCCTTGGAATTCATAGTAACTTTCACTGGGCCCAAAAGTGTGACAGTGACTTTCACTGCTGATCTAGAGAGTCACAGACAGAAACTTTCAGTAACTTTTACTGTGTACTAGGGAGTCACAGACATTTATCAGTTATAGATAGTTGCAGCTAACACACTTTTCAGGAATTTCAAAAAAATTTGCAAAATTATTCGTTTTAATTAGTTGTTTCAGAAGAAAAAAAATAGCTTTTGAATTATGAACTTCAATTTGTATGCATTTTTTTTTCAAATTAGAAAAGGCCACCTAAGTAGAGTTTAATTCTTTAGGAAAAATTGTGTTGATTTGATGGATACAGTTTTGGGCTCCCAAAATTTGTATTTGCTTTGTTATTTATTTGATGGAATTTCCATCTGTTGTAGTGTAGTTGTGTTTTTAAATTTCCACCTTTTTTACTAGTTAGACTTGGAAATCTGGGAAGTCATTAACTTGATGTAGAGACTGTAAATAAAGACATGAACACAATAACAACAAAAATCAGGTAATTTGACAATGATGAAAGTTATTCCGTTTCTCATTTAAATTTTAAAATCTGCAATTATTTAAATACATAACTGACATCAGAGCCAAATCACATGACTCAAAAAAGATATTATTAGTAAGAGAAGAAAACTAAAATCAAGGGTAGGTGCACATGAAAGAAAGATGAAAGATGATCTCATTTAAATCACACACAAAACTATGGGACTAGAATAAATCCTGAATCTATGATTCTATTTTAATGTTGATTTGAACAAATAGAAATAAAAGTATAAATATAGAATATGTGTTGGAATAATATGAATGAACAAATCTAATACACTTTTCTCACAGGAATTTTCTGAAAAAATTAATTCATGACTGGATTTGAAAGCCAGAAACAAAAATCTTGTAACTGAAACAGTTTATGAATTATGGATGAATTATGAATTTCAATTGTATCAATCTCATCTAATTTTCATTTCAAATTTACAAGGGTTTTCAATATGAGAAAACTATTGTTTCCATGGAATATGTACAATTTGTAGTGCATTTATATTCTCCACATTTTTAGTGAGTCTATTTTGTATGTTGGCTCCAAAAATAGGTTTCATTACCAGAAACATTAAAGAACTTTTATAAGAAAAAAAA